TTATAACAAAAAGAAAAAACCTGATAATAGAATTTAAGAGCTTAAAGAATACTGAGGTCTAGTTAAATTCCCCTTAAAAAAAAAAAACCATTATTTTTAAAAATACAGAAGCAAGCGGGGAAGTTAATTGACCTATGATCTCATAGCAAGTGAGTGATGCAGCTGGAATTAGAATATAGACCTAAATTTAATTTTGCCTTACTCTTCTTAGATGTAACACCCATTTCTCTGTTCCTTGAGGATCTAAATTTACTCTTCAGATAAGCATTCTCTTTGTCTCTCTTTGCACAGGAGGTTCATGAGTAATAGAGCAAAGGGAGGCAGTCTGTTTCCAAATGTTAGCAAGCTTTAGAATCACCTACAGGGCTTGTTAAAACAGATTATGCCCCTCCCTCCCCGAGTCTCCAATTTAGAAGTCTGGAGGAAGCCTTGATAGTTTGCATTTCTAACTAACTCCCAGCTGATGTTGCTGCTGCTGGCCCAGGGATCACACTTTGAGAACCACTGCTTAAAAACAGTCCTGGGCTTGGGAGTCAGTCATTCCCAGGCCCAGACTTTTGGCCATGTGACTTACTCCTGTGTGACCCAGATCAGGTTTTTTGTTTTGTTTTGTTTTTAAAGATTTTATTTATTTATTTGACAGAGAGAGACATAGCGAGAGAGGAAACACAAGCAGGGGGAGTGGGAGAGGGAGAAGCAGCCTTCCCGCCTAGCAGGGAGCCCGATGCGGGGCTCGATCCCAGGACCCCGGGATCATGACCTGAGCCGAAGGCAGACGCTTAACGACTGAGCCACTCAGGCGCCCCCCAGATCAGGTTTTTTAACTGACATGTCTCAGTTTCCTGTACTTTAAAATGGCAATAATATTTATTTCACATAGTCATTGTAAGAATTAATTACTTAATATAAAAAAAATTAGCATACTGCTTGGTACATAGTAAACACTCAACTGATGGTTTCTATTGTTATTTATAATAAGTCTTTGCATGTATTTATTAGCTATATCTTTACCTTTTTAAAAAAGGTCCCAATTAAAAGTTAATGAACCATAAATTCAGTTAAAGCTTTAGAGTAGATACCCAGAGACAATTTTTGTTCCTTAGTCATTTCGAGATGCTGAGATGTGTGTGTGCACACACATACACACATTCATATGTACAAACATATTCCTTGCTTGACTTTCCTTCTCATTTATGGGAAACCTAGCAGAACAGTGTGAGAAGAAGAGACAAATTGCAAAAGGGATTCCACTTCCAAGATTCAATTTAATGATAATTTACTTTTACTAATCTCAGGCTTCTATTATATATTGGAGTAAAGATGGACACTATTTTAAAAAAAAGAGCATATTTCAAAATATGTGACAGCTGCCAATTGAGGAGACAGAACTGCTTATTAATTGCTGTGTGTGTGTGTGTGTGTGTGTGTGTGTGTGTGTTATGTGGTAGAAGGAGAGAATAGGATAGTGGAGGTACTGTGGGTGGAGGGGAGGAGTCTCTGTGAAAGATTCTTCTAAACTCTGGGTCAGCCATATCCAGGGCCAGTCACAGTTCCTGAGGAGGTCTGCAAAATGAAGTTATAGAGGTATATCATCAGCTGACTTTCTGCATGCACATTTATAGAAAGACTATTCAAATAATGTTAGCACTTATTCATTTTCCAACTACATGTGTACCATGTTAGGAACCATGGAGACTCAATTAAACTTCAGAAATTGTGTAGAAAACATCAAAGTGGACTTGAGCAGTTAAGTCATAATTTGGGCTTTTGGGCCATGATTGCACTTGAAACTATTAATTATCCTTTTTAATGGTCATTTGGTCAGCCTGTTTGCAGGGACCCACAGGACTTGCAAAGGTAACAAAAGTTTCAATTTAGAGCTTTTTAAAAAAAATAACGAACTCAATGATACCTAATTTTTTAAAAAAGGTAAAGATGTAACTAATAAATACATGCAAAGATGCCTCACATTATTAGCCAATGAATGCAAATCAAAATCAAAATGAGACACCATTTCACACCTAGTAGGTTGGCTATAATAAAAAAGACAATAACACATGTTGCTGAGGATGTGGAGAGATTGGAAGCCTCATATATTGCTGGGGGGAATGTAAAACGGTGCTATGGAAAATAATGTGGCAGTTCCTCAAAAACTTAAACATGGAGTCACCAAATTGACCCAGCAATTCCACTCCTTGGTATGTAACTGAAAGAATTGAAAACATGGTAACACAATAACTTGAACACAAATGTTCATAGTAGCATTATTCAAACTAGCCAAAAAAGTAGAAACAACCCAAATGTCCATCAGCTGGTGAATTGATAAACAAATTGTGGTGTATACAAAAGCTATACAAAAGAATGAAGTACTGATTCATATCTCAACATGATTGGACCTTGAAAATACAGTGCTAAATGAAAAAAGCCAGATGCAAAAGGCTACATGTTATATGATTCCATATATATGAAATGTCCACAATAGGCAAATCTATACAGACTGAAAGTGGATTAGTTGTGAGAATGAGGGAATGGGGAGGACTGTTAGTGGGTACAGGGTTCTTTTTGGAGTGATGAAAATGTTCTAAAAAATTAGATAGTGGTGGGGCGCCTGGGTGGCTCAGTCGTTGGGCGTCTGCCTTCGGCTCGGGTCATGATCCCTGGGTCCTGGGATCGAGTCCCGCATCGGGCTCCCTGCTCGGCGGGAAGCCTGTTTCTCCCTCTCCCACTCCCCCTGCTTGTATGCCCTCTCTCACTGTGTCTCTCTGTCAAATAAATAAAAATAAAATCTTAAAAAAAGCAGAAAATATTGTTATAAAAAAAATTAGATAGTGGTGATAATTGCACAGCCTTGTGAATATACTATTATCCTCTGAATTGTACAATTTCAGAGAGTAAGTTTTGTGGTATGTAAATTATCTTTCAAAAAACGAAAATCAAAAATAAAAGATACACCTGTAATGGGCATGAAGCATGAATGAGGAATAAACTTTGGTTGTCATAAAAAAATAATTGTGGGAAGAGGAGAAAAATAATTTCTGTGGAGAAACAAATCATCCTTCTATTAAAGATGCATAATGCATAGTAGCCCATCACAAGTTCTGAAAGGCTTGCAATGATGAAAACTTTATTTAGCTTCATTGAGCCATCATCTCCCAAACATTTCATCCTGAAAAACATTTACTCACAGTGATCATGTTAAAGTATCCTAGAGGAGGATGAATCTTGGGCTTGAGCATATGTATGTAGGAATTACCTGGAAAGCTTCCTTCCTTCCTTCCTTCCTTCCTTCCTTCCTTCCTTCCTTCCTTCCTTCCTTCCAATTTTTTAACTTTAAATTCAATTAACTAACATGTAATGTATTATTGGTTTCAGAGGTAGAGGTCAGTGATTCATCAGTCTTATATAACACCCAGTGCTCATTACATCACATGCCCTCCTTAATGTCCAGCACCCAGTTACCCCATCCCTCTACCCCCCTCCCCTCCAGCAACCCATAGTGTGTTTACCTGGAAAGTTTCTTAAAACAGATTCTGGACCTCACCCCAGAGATTCTGATTTCCAAGGTCTTGGGTGCAGCCTGAGAATCAAGCTCCCAGGTGATTTGATCCTTCAGGTTTCAGAACTAAACTTTGAGTAGCATCTTTACAGAATGGACAAACCCGTACCTTAACTGGGTGAATTTTATGGCATGTGAGTTATATCTCAAAAGAGATGCTAAAAAATTTGATATATTAGAAATAGCACTAAAATGTGAGTTCTAGCGATTTTGTAATGCAGGACCATGCTCTGTGAGTGAATTGTTTTAATTAAAATTTTCTTCATCTGTAAAACAAGTCACTGCCCTATCTACTACCTAGGTTTGTGACAAAAATGAGGCAGTATACTCTTTTCCAAATTGTGTTCTATGGATAAAAACGTGACTTAAGAAAAGAAAAAAGTCGGGGCACCTGGGTGGCTCAGACGGTTAAGCATCTGCCTTCGGCTCAGGTCAAAATCCTAGGGTCCTGGGATCGAGCCCCGCATCTGGCTCCCTGCTCCGCGGGAGGCCTGCTTCTCCCTCTCCCACTCTCCCTGCTTATATTCCCTCTTGCTGTCTCTCTCTCTGTCAAATAAATAAAATCTTAAAAAAAAAGAAAAAAGTCCATAGTCAGCTAAGTTTGGGAGATTCTGAGTTAAATAATGCATATTCCACACTGCTGGTCAGACCAATATTCTTGACTTGGACCCTAACACAAGTCTATATGTATAAAATCAATTAAATATGAGATTTTTACTCATTCTAATTCTTGTAGTAGATCCTCCAGAGCTACTAAAGATCCGTATGGAGTGGAATAAACAAAATCTGAATAATATTGTGGAAATAACAATACTTGCTCCTCTCTTGTTTCAAGCTTGATATTTTATTGACCTATTTATTTGAAAAATTATTGACCAAAAAGAATCTTAGCAAACGACTACTGGCTATGATAAAATGATGTTTATAAGGCTAAAGGAATATTTTATCTAGTTGTCTCTTTTAATCAACTTATATTTATGGAGCAACTTATATTCAAAATTAGGTTGAAGCTAAATTAAATGTATCCAGAAAAAATTTTGCCTTCCTAGTATTTTAATTGAAAAAATATAGTTTTTCCTTACTTCTCCTTTTCTAAAATTTGGGCTATTAGTTTTTTAAGATTTTGAGACCCTTATTATCATTTTTATTTGAAGCTTTTATAATTAAATGTTTTCTTATACTATAAGCTGTTTAAATTTTAAAATTTGTTTCCTTTTCTTTTTAATTTTAGTTGAAAATCATTTCTCCCCTGATTTTCTTTAGTGATCTGTTTTAAGCATTATTTTGATAAGCTATAGTCTATTTTAAACCTCTTTTTAGAACTATTTTGTTGTAATAAAGTTCTTGAAATTGGATATATAATTAACATGGCATTGGGAATGCATGTATATATAGTTTGAAGACATCTTTTCAGGACCTTACCGTAATTATACCTTTATTTCAGATGAGGTGGAGGACCATCTTACTACAATGTTGTTTTCTCTTGGTTTCCTGCCTACTTACTGCTCTTAAAGCTGTGCCTATAGACATAGACAAGACAAAAGTAAAAAATACTCAACCTGTGGACAGCGCAAGGATAGAACCACCAGTAAGTGAAATGATAAAGATAACCTTGTGGGAAGAATTTTAACCAAATGTTGCTAATATTTATTACTTATAAAATTGTACATTTAGGAACTATTTCGGAAATAGCAGTAAAAGAATATTGGATAAACATATGTTGTTTAATATTAGTGTTTATTTAATGTAGTTCATATATTAAATAATGCACAGGAGAATTAATCATAATACATTTCCAATGGAGAGCTCACTAGGCAAGAAAACATTTGTATTGTATTCAAAGGAGATACAGCAATGAGGAGAGACAGGTGACGGTGGAACAAAATCAATAACTAATATTATTGGTTAAGTCCTCATTGTCTAAGCCATATAGAATATGTACCTTTATGTAACAATAAAACATTATATTGGTTCTGATATAAAATTCTTCATTTGAGAAATACAGCTTTTTAACTTTGTCCCAGCTATCAGAGTAGATACGTCTCAGTGCCATTTTGCTAGTCTATTTTTTTTTTAATTTTTTAAATTTTTTTTTAGGATTGAGATCTTTAGATGCAGGGAAGGAAAAACTTTCAGAAACATTATTGTTTGTTTCTTAATTTGAAGGATACTGGACTTTATTATGACGAATATCTTAAGCAAGTGATTGATGTGCTGGAAACAGATAATCATTTCAGAGAAAAGCTCCAGAAAGCAGACATAGAGGAAATAAAGGTAAATGTAATTAAATAATTATTTAACAAATGTTAGAACATCCCAGACACTGAGTTAAGTACTGGGAATACAAAGATGAAACTCTTTCCAAGCTCTTATTTATTCTGAATAAATAATATCTAGAAAAAGTTTATTAGAATGAATATATGATGGGGGTATAATATATTTTGGAGATGCCTAGCATGGACACATAGTTCAGCAGTGGGGAAAGATGGAAAGTCATTTTTCCTGATAGAGGTAAGAGCACCATGCCAATAATTTCCCTGAATTATCTTGAGAGTAATCTTATGTTTCCTTTGAGGAATTAATTTGATCTATGGAACTAATTTCCTGGGCTGAATAATATTTAATGTAGAACTTTCAGTTCTCTTATCTACTTAAGTTAGGATTAAGAACATTATTTGTGGCAGGATGCCTGGGTGGCTCAGTGGTTAAATGTCCAACTCTTGGTTTCGGCTCAAGTCAAGATCTCAGGGTCATGAAATTGAGCCATGCATTGGGCTCCGCAGTCAGTGTGGCGTCTGCTTGAGTTTCTCTCTCCCTCTCTCTGCCCCTTCCCTGTTCTCTCTCTTTCTCTGAAATGAATAAATAAATCTTTTTTTTAAAAAAGAACATTGTTTGTGGGTAACCGAAAAGGTAGATAATAGGAAGTACAATAGAGAGATAATCCTGGTTTGGTATGGGAATACTTTTATAACTGTCTGCCTTTCATAGTCAATCCTATTCCCTATTGGGGCAGGGGGAGACAAAATGTAATAAGTTAAACAGTTATTCAATGAAAAAGATATAAGAATTAAAATAGACACTAAAGGGGCGCCTGGGTGGCTCAGGCGTTAAAGCTTCTGCCTTCAGCTCAGGTCATGATCCCAGGGTCCTGGGATCGAGCCCTGCATCTGGCTCCCTGCTCCGCGGGAAGCCTGCTTCTCCCTCTCCCACTCCCCTGCTTGTGTTCCCTCTCTTGCTGTGTCTCTCTCTGTCAAATGAGTGAGTAAAATCTTAAAAAAAAAATAAAAAGACACTAAAACTCAAGCCAATGGAATCATTATATAAATAGCTCCGCAAAGACTCTTATCTTAATGAAACTGGGAGAAAAAATTTTAAATTTGTCCTTTCCTTTTCAGCCAAGTATTTTGATCCGGTTTTTTTTTTAAAGATTTTATTTATTTATTTTGACAGAGAGGGAGAGAGCACAAGCAGGGGGAGCGGCAGGCAGAGGGAGAGGGAGGGGAGAAATAGGCTCCCAGCTGAGCAGGGAGCCTGATGTGGGGCTCCATCCCAGGTCCCTGGGATCATAACCAGAGCAGAAGCGTCTGAAGGCAGATGCTTAACAGACTGAGCCACCCAGGTGCCCCTCAGCCAAGTATTTTGAAAGGGGAATCATACTGCATTTCTTCACTTCCCAAATATTGCTGACTGGAAAGATTATGGCTTTGCCCATATCATGCCACTGAATATACTTTCATGAAGGATGTCAGTGACTTCTTAATTGCCAAATCCAGTAAATACTATTTATTTCTGTTCTTACTGGACTCCTTTTTATTATCTCAGTGGTTCTCAGATTTTAGGACTTGTTGAAACACAGATTCCTGTGCCCCACCTATAGACTTTGTGATTCAGTAAGTCAGAACTTGCATTTCTAACGTTCCCAGTTGGTGCTAATGCTTCTACTTGGGGACCACACTTTGAGAACCATTGTTGTATGTAATAATGATGACTACCCTCTCCTTGATATATCACTCTTTTTGCTTCTATAATAGCAAATTCTCCTAGTTCGCCTTCTTACCTCTGAATATTCTTTTTTGGTCTCCCTTGTAGGGGGTTTCTTTTCTTTACCTTCCTCAGTGGGCCCCGTTGACTCAGTCCTAAAAGGTCTGTCTGCCTGATTGTAGTTAGATTTGCAGTTTGTGATTGCAAATGCATTTATAAACAAGAGAAAGTAAGCTACTAGCTATTTTGTTTCTTAAATTTTGGAACATGTATCTAAGTACTTATCTAAGAGAAAAGTAATCAAAGGAGACAGCCTAAAAAAGATGAATTTTGAAAAGTTATTTATATATGTAACTACTAAAACTTAAGGTGGCCAAGTTATTTTTTAAAATTACTTTATTGAAATGTAATTCACATACCTTAAAACTTGCCCCTTTAAAGCATATAATTCAGTAGTATATCTACATGTGACCATCATCACTATCTACTTTGTTTTTTTTAAAGATTTTATTTATTTACGTGACAGAGACACAGCGAGAAAGGGAACACAAGCAGGGGGTGTGGGAGAGGGAGAAGCAGGCTTCCCGCAGAACAGGGAGCCCGATGGGGGGCTCGATCCCAGGACCCTGAGATCATGACCCGAGCCGAAGGCAGTCTCTTAACCGACTGAGCCACCCAGGCACCCCCCCCTTTTTTTTTAAAGATTTTATTTATCACTATCTACTTTTATTTTTTATTTTTTTTATTTTTTTAAAGATTTTATTTATTTATTTGAGAGAGAGAATGAGAGAGAGAGCATGAGAGGGGGGAGGGTCAGAGGGAGAAGCAGACTCCCTGCTGAGCAGGGAGCCCGATGCGGGACTCGATCCTGGGACTCCAGGATCATGACCTGAGCCGAAGACAGACGCTTAACCAACTGAGCCACCCAGGCGCCCCTATCACTATCTACTTTTAAACAATATCATTTCCCCCCAAAAGAAACCCTGTACCCATTAAGCTATCACTCCCCCTGCTTCTTATCCCTTGGCAATCATTGATCTACTTTCTATCTCTATGGATTTGCCTATTTTGGACATTCTACATAAATGGAATTATACAATATGTGGCCTTTTGTGTCTGGTTTCTTTGAGCATAATGTTTTTCAAGGTTCATTGTATTGTAGCTTATATTAGTACATTCATTTCTTTTTATGGCTGAACAATATCCCACTTTATGGATATTCCATATTTTGGTTATCAGCTCATCAGTTGATGGACATTTGGTTATTTCTACTTTTTATACTAGTATGAATAATGCTGCTATGAAAATTCAGGTACAAGTTTTTATGTGAACGTATGTTTCAATTCTTTAGGTATATACCTAAGAATGGAATTGCTGGGTCATATGGTAATTCTGTGTTTAACTTTTTGAGGAACTGCCAAATTGTTTTTCAAAGTGGTTGTACCATTTTACAATTCAAGTTACTTTTTGAGTTTCTTCTTTGTGCTTTGATTATGCTTTCAATTATATGGTTTTTATTTTCTTCAAATTTTTCTTTAAATTCCAGTTAACATGCAGTGTAATATTAGTTTCAGGTATAGAATTTTGTGATTCATCACTTACATACAACACCCAGTGCTCATCACAATAAGTGCCCTCCTTAATACCCATCACCTGTTTAACCCATCCCCCCCGCCCACCTCCCCTCCAGTAACCCTCAGTGTGTTTTCTAGAGTTAAGAGTCTGTTTTTGGTTTTCCTCTCTTCCCCACCCCCCCCGTATTTATCTGTTTTGTTTCTTAAATTCCACATATGAGTGAAATCTTGTGGTATTTGTCCTTCTCTGACTGACTAATTTTGCTTAGTATAATACTCTCTAGCTCCATCCATGTCATTGCAAATGGCAAGAGTTCATTCTTTTTTATGGCTGACTGATATGCCATTGTATATGTATACGTATCTTCTTCATCCATTGATCACTTGATGGACATTTGGACTCTTTCCATAATATATGGTTTTTACACATCTTGATTTTAGAGTTATAAACTGAGTATCTTCTGAAAGAAATGCTTTTTGTAATGCCAAATTTATCTAAATTAGTCTAAAGTATTTATCATACTTCATCATAACCCTAATTTTAATATATTGTGTCTGGTCTAGAAATGGAATGTAATAAATAAAACTAGCTTGTTAATTTTAACAGAGTGGGAGGCTAAGCAAAGAACTGGATTTAGTAAGTCACCACGTGAGGACAAAACTTGATGAACTGAAAAGGCAAGAAGTGGCAAGGTTAAGAATGCTAATTAAAGCTAAGTTGGATTCCCTTCAAGGTAAGTGCTAAAAAAAAGGAAAGTTTCAGTATTTGGTTGTTGAGGTCAGTTTATGTTGGCACATACCATGTTCTTCTAGTCAAAATTTAATGTTAGCATTGATTTGCATTCTCTTAATTTTTAATTTTTAAAATAGGTAATCACATCATTCAAAAATCAAAATGATTAGCCTTAGATTATTATATCAATGAAAAGTAATGAATTAAGCCACTGATTTAAAGGAGGAAGAATGGGGTGCCTGGGTGGCTCAGTCGTTAAGCATCTGCCCTCGGCTCAGGTTGTGATCCCCGGGTCCTGGGATCGAGCCCTGCATTGGGCTCCCTGCTTGACAGGGAGCCTGCTTCTTCCTCTCCCATCCCTGCTGCTTGTGTTCCTTCCCTCTCTGTGTCTCTCTCTGTCAAATAAATAAATAAAATCTTTAAAAAAAAATAAGGGAGGAAGAATAACATCAAAGCAAACCAAAAGAGAGAAAATCTAATTATAACAATTTCCATAGATGAAACAGAAAATCGTCAAGAGAGCTTGCTCTAAAAAAACCATACTATGCCCAGAGAGTGTCAAAAGGAATTCTATTAAACTGTTAAAGAACAGATTGTCAGGACACCTGGGTGGTTCAGTTGGTTAAGTGTCCAACTCTTGGTTTCAGCTCAGGTCATGATCTCAGGGTCGTGAGATCGAGCCCCGTGTTGGGTTCCACACTCAGTGGGGAGTCTGCTTGGGATTCTCTTCCTTCCCTGTCCCTCTGCCCTCTCTCCTTCTCAAGTAAAAATAAATACATCTTTTTTTTTTTTAAAAAGAACAGACAGTCAGTGCTATTTAAACTATTCCAGAGCATAAAAAAAGAAGGAAAGCTTTCATACTCTTAATATATATTGATGCCAAAACCAAAATTATTTTATGTCAAAAGTATACCATGTAATAGCAAGTGGATTTATTTTAGGAATGCAAGATTGACTTAATATTAGGAAATCTAATATTATAAATCATCATATGAATAGTAATAGAAAAAATTTTGGTGTGACAAAAATCAAGAAGTCAAAGGACAAAGGATAAATTAGAATAAATCTTTGAAACTTCTATCTTTTAAAATTAAGATTTGGCATGTGTGAGTAGCACATTTGGTTATGTGTCCAACTCTTGGTTTTGACTCAAATTGTGATCTTGGGGTTGTGAGATAGAGCCCTGCCTTGTATGGGGCTCCAAGCTCAGTGCAGAGTCTGCTTAAGATTGTCTCTCCCTCTACTTCTACCCCTCCCTCCACCCCAGCCCCGCTCCCCCATTCACACACACTCTCTCTCTAAAATAAATAAACAAATAAACAAATAAATAAATGAATAAAATTAAGATTTGATTCTTTTAGAGCAGTATAAGGTTTACAGCAAAATGGAAGGGAAGGTGCAGAGATTTCCCATATGCCCCCAGCCCCCCAAACATGCATAACCTCCTTCATTACTAGCATCACCCACCAGAATGGTAAATTTGTTACAATTGATGAACCTACACTGACACATCATAATCACCCAAAGTCCATAGTTTACATTAGAGTTCACTTTGGTGTTTTACAGTCTAGGATTTGGACAAATCTATAATGATATGTATCTACCATTATAGTATCATGCAGAATAGTTTCACTGCCCTAAAACTCCTCTGTGCTCTGCCTATTCATGCTCCTATATTCTTTTAATTTTAGACTGTGAGAATATTAAATAGCTATGAAGTAGAATTTTTGAAATGTGAAGATATCCACAGATAAGAGAGTAATCTCCTATATCATATGACCATCTCTATATCTACAGAAAAGGAGCAATTGACAAAATTTAACACTTCTTAATTTTAAAAAAGTAATAAAATAGAAATCAATAGATACTTCTGTAACATGATCAGGTATGTCTAACTCAGCCACATCATACTTGGTGGGGAAATACAAGTGTGTATTCTAATTAACATCAGGAACAAGACGATGTCCACAATCACCACTACTAATTAGCATAGCATTGGAGGTACTAACCAAAACAATTACATAAATGAAAAAAAAACTGGAGATAAAGTAATTGAAAAGGAGTTGATAAAACCATTTCTGTTTGCAGGTGATAGGATTATATACTTGGAAAACTCAGAATAATTGACTAAAAAAATAACATAAAGAACAGGAAAATTCAGCAAGGTAAACTTAATATCCAGAAATCAGTATTTTTCATATGCAACAGCCAGTTACAAGATATAATGGAAGAAAAGACTCCATTTACAAATATAAGCAAAGATAAAATACCCAGATTAAACCTGTTAACAAACTGGACTTATAGACAAAAAGCTTTAAAATACTCCTGAAGGATGCAAAAGTAGACTTGAAAAAAATGAGAAGACATAACATCTTTTTTTTTCAGTTTTATTTTTTTATTATTATGTTGTGTTAGTCACCATACATTACATTATTAGTTTTTGATGTAGTGTTCTGTGATTCATTGTTTGTGCATAACACCCAGTGCTCCATGCAGTACGTGCCCTCTTTAATACTCATCACCAGGCTAACCCAAACCCCACCCCCCCCCAGTCCATAGTATCTCATGGTTCGTCTCCCCCTCCGATTTCCCCCCCTTCTTTTTTCCCTTCCTGTTATCTTCTTCTTCTTCTTCCTTTTTTTAACATATAATGTATTATTTGTTTCAGAGTTACAGGTCTGTGATTCATCAGTCTTACACAATTCACAGCGCTCACCATAGCACATACCCTCCCCAACGTTCATCACCCAGCCCCCCCATCCCTCCCACCCCCCACCACTCCAGCAACCCTCAGTTTGTTTCCTGAGATTAAGAATTCCTCATATCAGTGAGGTCATATGATATAGGACATAACATCTTTTTGATACAAAGACTCAACATTATAAACATGTCAGTTTTCCTTAGGTTAATTTATAAGTTTGACATGATCCAAATAAAAATATGTACTTTTTTTTTCTGCTGCTAGACAACTTAATTTTAAAGTTCATATGAAAAAAGAAGCAAAAAAGCTACATACTTCAGAAAAAGAACAATGAAGGACTAGATAGATATGTTAGGTATTAAAATATATCACTAAGCCCCAGTCATTAGAACTGTATAGTTTTGGCATATAAGTAGAAAGACCAGTGGAACTAAATAGAAATACCAGAAGTAAAAGTAAATACATTTAGAATTTAGTTTGAATTAAAGGTGGTATCTCATTATTAGTAGGATCAAGATAGATTTTTAAAAAGAATAATGTTGGTACAATCGGTTAGCCATTTGGAAAAAGGTACAGTTAGAGCTCTATCTCATTTACATCAGAATAAGTACAAATGAATCCAAGATATCAGTGTAGAAAATAATACCATAAAAGCACTAGATGACAACATAGGTGAATTTCTTTATTATCTTGGAATGGCCTTTCTAATTATGAAACAAAATCAAGAAGCTAGATTTGACAAGTGGGAGACCCTTCCAGCTGGCTGACCTATCTTTGTGACATGTCCCTTATAGGCTAGTTATCTGGATGGTTCATTGGCATTAATAAACATCTGAACATTTACTCCTGGTGAATAGTAGTTCTTAAACTTCAGATTGCATAGGAATCACCTGGGGAGCTCGTTAAAAATTCAGTTAACTGGATCTTACCTCTAGAGTTTCTGATTCTGGGGGTGAGTAATATGTATTTTAAACATGTGCCTCTGGTCAATGGATCATATTGGAGAAATGCTTGTGTAGAGCATTAAACTCCTTGCTGGTGAATAGACATAGAAAACAAGTACCAAATATTCCTTATCCTGAGATTTAAGGAAATCAATGAGAGGTAAACTGAGCGCATACCCTACTACCTCAGGTGGTCAGACATAGGAGGAGGTTCCATCCTTAAAGCTGGGCCTAAGGTGTTTTGAGATTACTTTCCTCTTAGACAACCTCCATCCGTTCAATCTTGGCAATATTTTCTTTATTCCAAATAGGGGCTGAATTTCATTATCTAAAGAAAACTGTCTGATGCTTAAAAAACTTATGTATGTTTTCTTACTGATTCAGAATTTATGAATTGGAATTTCTGATAATTTGAAGAAAGACTTAAAGGGTCTTTTTTTTTTGGTATAATTTTTAAAGTAAGTAATACATTCACATGGCTGAAAACCAGAAACTATAGAAGGCATATAGCAAAAGTGCTCTGATATTTTTGTGCCCTATCAGTTCCCCCAACATGATCCTTCTGTTTCTTCATTCTTATATAAGCAAATACAAATAAAAGTCCTTATTTTTCCTCTCTTTTTATGCAGAAAGTTAGCATATAATACACATTTTGTACTTTGTCTTTTTCTGTTAACAACATATTTGGAGATCTTTCTGTATTAGTACATGGAGACCATCTTCATTTAAAAAAAGTTTATAGCTGCATAGATTTCCATTATATGGATATGCCATAATTTATTTAACTAGGCCTCTGGTGATGAGTATTTGGGTTATTTCTAGCGAATAGTCTTGTACATATATCACTGTATATCTGTGTAAAATTATCTGTAGGATACGTTCCCCACAGAGAAACTATATATATGTATTTGTAATTTTTATAGATATTGCCACCTCCACAGAGGTTGTATCAATACATACTCTTATGTTCTAATTTCTCACATCCTGTTAATAGTATGTTATCTTCAGACTTTAAGAGTTTTACCGTTCTGTTAGATAGTATAATAGCATGGTTTTAATACACATTTCTCCTATTTTGAGTGAGGTTAAGCATCTTTTCATGTATTTCACTGTCCAGTCATATCTTTTAGGCCTGGGTCTTATGACAAATCTTTTCTTCATAAGTAAAATTTGTACAGTGCCATACAAAGAATTCAGCGAAATCTTAATTTAACTAACTATAGCAGTTTCTTACTTTCTGGTATAACAAAATGTTCCAGACTCATCTTGTACCTATCCTGCCCCAGGCCTGGAATGAGCTATTTCTCTGAGGATTCCTGGTTCTTTTTAGTGGGAAATGATATTACGGACCAAAGACTGGCAGTAGATGTGCTCATTGCTTCTGGAATATATTTTCTTTCTTTTCTTAAGATTTTATTTATTCATTTGAGAGAGAGAGAAGCACAAGCAGGGGGAGGGGCAGAGGCTGAGGGAGAAGCAGACTTTCTGCTGAGCAGGGAGCTTGACAAGGGGCTCAGTCCCAGGATTCTGGGATCATGAGCTGAGCCGAAGGCAGATGCTTAACCAACTGAGCCAATCAGGTGCCCCTGGAATATATTTTCTTATTGACATTTTCACTGGACAGAGATAGGAGATTTATGCATGTCTATATACATCGACATACACGTGCACACACATTTTTGGATGTATAAATGTATGTGCGTATATACACACACGTGTGTGTACCTGTAAAACATACATACATATGTATGTGCATATTCATATTTTAGAAATAAGTTCACACAGTGCTAATTCTCATCTATTTCCAGAGATTTCTTTCTTTTTTTAAAATTTAAATTCAATTAACATATAATGTATTATTAGTTTCAGAGGTAGAGGTCAATGATTCATCAGTCTTATATAATACCCAGTGCTCATTACATCACGTGCCCTCCTTAATGTCCATCACCCAGTTACCCCATCCACCCACCCTTCTCCCCTCCAGTAATCTTCAGTTTATTTCCTATGATTAAGAGTCTCTTATGGTTTGTCTCCCTCTCTGATTTCATCTTGTTTTATTTTTTCCTCTTTGTCCCCTATGATCCTCTGTTTTGTTTCTTAAATTCCACATATGAGTGAGATCATATGATAATTGTTTTTCTCTGATTGGACTTATTTTGCTTAGCATAATACCCTCTAGTTCCATCCACATCGTTGCAAGTCGCAAGATTTCATTTTTTTGATGACTGAGTAGTATTCCATTGTGTATATATACCACATCTTTATCCATTCATCTGTCAATAGACATCCTGGGCTCTTTCCATAGTTTGGCTATTGTGGACATTGCTGCTATAAACATTAGGGTGCAGGTACCCCTTTGGATCACTACATTTGTATCTTTGGGGTAAATACCCCATAGAGCAATTGCTGGCTCGTAGGGTAGCTCTGTTTTCAACTTTTTGAGGAACTGTTTTCCAGAGTGGCTGCATCAGCTTGCATTCCCACCAACAGTGTAAGAGGGTTCCCCTTTCTCCGCATCCTCACCAACATCTGTCGTTTCCTGATTTGTTAATTTTAGTCGTTCTGACTGGTGTGAGGTGGTATCTCATTGTGGTTTTGATTTGTATTTCCCTGATGCCAAGTCAGAGATTTTTTTCTTGCCTTCCATGATTCCATATTTGTACATTCCTTTTTCCTAAGTGAGAATTCTGACTTTTAACAAATCAACACATGTACCTATTTTGCTCAATTCTATAATCCAACTGAAATAGTCCAGACTCACTTTACCCTTTCTTTTTTTTTTT